CCCCCCCCCCGCCGCCCTCCCTCTCATTCATTCATTCATTCATTCATTCGTTCATCGTTCTTTTTGTACAATTTCCAACAGGAACAACATCGACATCGCCACCGATCCGGCTCGAATGGCCTTGGTCTACCCTCGGCTGGACGTGCGACATCTCGCATCCCTGCTGGGCAAGTACCGAGATCTGAGCATCGCGGCCAAGATCCGGAGCACTGTCGGCGACGAGGTTCCCCAGATCGACCCTGCTAGGGTGACCGCCATCCTCAAACGATTAAAGCAGCTGGGGTGATGGAGGGCTTTCTTAACGGCCGTGGATAGATACGCCACTAGAGGGGAAATATTTTTACGTGCATTCAGTCATTTTGTGTTTATGCATTGCGTGTGGTTTTAAGTCTCGTGGAATGGAGTGTCAGCTTTACAATTGTTGCACAGCAAGGGGCAAGCCGTCGTACGATATGCTCTCGTCTTTTAGTTCGGGCTGCGGTAGACGAGACAAACGATGCTTACATCGCGGGCTCAGCCGAGTGGCCACGTTAGGAGGAAAGACTGCTGTGATGCTCGAACAAAACGGTGCCTTCTTTTGTGTAGCATGGTAGAAAACTGTTGAGGAATAGCTGTCTCGGCATTTTTGGTTGGTCGACTTGTCCACTTTTCCCCCCTTGTGTCCGCAATTTTTTTCGGTCTGAGCATCCGCTTTTTAGGGTAAAGCTTTGGCGGTAACATGTTCATGCCGCAACGTCAACAAGGACAGAGCACCGGTAGCGCTTAGCGTTGTGTTTGAATCGAAACGCAGCGGGCGCAGGTTCACGGGTACGTGTTGTTTTGTGTGGAAGTGAAGAGAGAGGTTCTGTTAGACCGTGGGTCAGCGCGAAGCTTGCTTCGGGTCGCCTTTCATGTACATTGACTCTGCAAGCAGTCGAGCACCGTGTGTGTGAGTAAGTGGCACTTCTTGTCTCACTCATATCTCATACAATACCTGTCGTGTGTACAGTTTCGTTGATATGTATTTCTAGATTTTTTTTGGTGTTTTTCTTCCGCTTCGACTTAGGCATGGCCGGTTGGTTAGAAAGGCATGGCAGTTACCCCGTTTGTTTGCGACTGCCGGCTCTGTCAGCGATCTGCGTCTGCTGTACGGCGAAAAATACCAATGTGCTGTGTGGGGATTGATTTGCAGCACGGCAAAACACGATAAACGCGCGTTGGAGGAATGTACTACCTGTGTTCGGTTCATCCAAAAAAATACGAGTAGGAGAGGAGGCACATACTGGATGGTGGTCGTCAGAGCGAGTTTTCTTGACGCAAAAGACATCGTCGGTGGGTAGTTCTCAGAGAGAGGTGAAAAATCTCTCCTCAGTGTAAATGGTCGGAGAGCGGTTTGCTTCGACACTTGGTACATGTACGGCCGGTCGCCCCCGTGGTCTTCTAGTGGTATCCTTGTAATCCGCTAGTCGCAGAGGTCGTGAGTTCGAATCCCCATGGGGTGAAAAAATTACGAAACTTGTGGGTGAAAGCGAAGTATAGCTAAAAAGCTCTCGTGAGCGCCAAACTTCGACGTTAGCACCGTTGACGAGGGAAAGGAACGGCTGGACCCTTCTCGCGATAAAAACAAAATTCAGCACGCATCGCAGGAGGAAGGTGGGGCATGAAAAGAAATAAAAAGAAGAAATAAGCCCTGGTGGTGTTTACCCCCTCCTGTGTGACCCTGGATGGGTGTAGTTGTGCGAAAAAATACACTGAAAAGTGTAGTACTCTACATACGCTGAAAAATATAGTACACGTCTCACCACGAAAAGTGGGGGGACTGCCGCCATAATTAATAGGACGAAAACACACACGCATATGTACACGCCGCGTGCAAGGAAAAAGGATTTCGGTCAATTCTGTGCCGTTTGCTCGTAAGAGACGTCATGCCGTACACAAGCAACAGCCGACGACGTCGATCGCGGATGCATATGCTTCGAAACATGGTCATGTGCACGCGTGTGGCCAGAAAAAAACATTTTGGAAAGACTTTGGTATTGGGTCCGTGCGGCCTCTAAGTGAAGTTAATCAACACCAAATGCCTATCGTCTGATGGCCGCATGTTTACGAGAGCGAAGTCGAGGTGTTGGTGATGCTGTCGGCGCAGTCAGCACATGCATGGGACTCTCAGACCTACACGATCTACCTCCCTGTGCAGGTGTGTTCTCGAACGCACTCCCCCACCATTCGTGGCACACGATCTGCATTGATTGTTGGTTGCCGGCCAGTCGAACGGTAACACAAACCCCAGGGATCCAGAATTGGGCGGTCTATTTTATAAAGCGCTGTCTCCTCCGTTTTTCTTTTAGCGTTTGCTGAGAACTTCAGTGGAGTGGCTAGTGTTCCCCCCCCCGGCCTGGCGGACAGCGGTCGAGCACAGCTATGTACGTGCGCATCGAAGGAGTCTTTTATACAGGTCGTGGCGGCCGCCGCGGGAAGGAGTCAAGCGCTCTCTTTCTTGTGGTCTCCCAAGAGACTGCGCACCCAAACGATGAGTACTGGAAGATTGCGTCGTGTCGTCGTCCCCAAAGACTAAACTGCAACTGCTGTGGTGTAGATTGAGTGGCCTGGTGTGGTCGCTCTCTGATCATCCATGCAGAGCATGCCCAAACGCTTAGAAAGCCAGACGCCTGGGACGTGTTCGGCTCATTCGTCTTCTATCTCAACACTCTGTTGAAGCACTACCTACTGAACATGCACCATCTGAACACCGTTGTAGCTCTACCCTCCCCCCCAACCTACTCCGTCCTCTCCAGGACGCGTGGTCAATGATCTAACAGCTGAGGCACACAAAACATAAGTACGCCCCCCCCAACATTGATATGCCTGCCCCTGGCGAAACTGACTCGGTTCGGCGTTAGTAAATAAAACAACACAAAAAAATTGTTCGCTTCACCAAAAGTAACCTCCCCCCACGACCCACTTTTAAGTTTTGGCCCTGGCGGGTGTCTGCGTTTCTTCATTACTCTACACGTGGATCTTCGGGCCTTGGCACGACTGGTCGGTGTGAACTGACGGCATCTCCGAACGACGGCGAACCCCAGGCCTTCTTGGCATAGAGGCACGCTCAATTCCTGGGATTTACCGAACTCCCGGTCACAACAAGTAAATGGGGATGATAATGACTTTAAACATGGACTAACGCGAGATATCAAGATACTGTTGCTTTACAACGATGTACAGAACGCGTTCCTAACTAACGTATTTATTTGTACAGACAATACGGATGCAGTAGCGCACTAGGAATACGGTTTGCCCGACGAATCCTCTCGGGAGTCAAAAACCTACCCGGGGTCCGTTAAATCATGAACTCTCCAGAGTTCTCAAACCACAGCAGCCTCGAGCACTCCGTTCTGCTGAGCCCACGCCAGCTGAGCCCGACTCCTGTCCAGCCGGTCTTGCATGGCTCGCAGGGACTGGAGGCCCTCGTTCGCCCGCTCCTCCCCGAACACGGCCCGCTCCGCGTACCACTCGGCGTGCCCCTCCACCACCGCGGAAGCCCGCTCGACGTCGGCGGTGATGTTGCGCAGGCGTTCCGCTGCGGACGCGACCTCGCTGTCCAGGACCGGCGGCCGCGGCGGTGGCACCATCGCCGGAACGGTCGTTGCCCCCTCTCCCTCAGGGGTACAGTCACGGCCGCTCTCTCCGTGTGGACGCGGCGCTCCGCCCTCCTCTTGTGCGGAGCCCGCCTCGCTGTTGCCGCCCCCGGTCACGGCAACGAGTCTCTCGAACTCGAGGGTGTCTCGTAAGCGTTTCTGGACCAGGGCAGCCTCACGCCTCCTGCGGGACAGCTCGTAGACCTCGCCTAGGACGTTCGAGGCGCACATGACGAGCAGCTCCCAGAGGAACAGCTGCCCCGTGCACCAGGCAGGGTGGCCGCGGTCTAGCAGCCGCACCACCTCCTCGAGGCGGGAAAAGAGGCACGGTACGTCGCACTGCAGATCACCGCCACCGCCTCTGCCGCGCGCGCCAGCGATCGTCAAGCACGCCGCCCGGCGATCGAGCAGCACCCCCTCGTGGAGCGCGATGACGAGGTCGTGGACGAACCCCATCGTCTCGCACTCGTTCAGGACGCCCTGCTCCACGGCGGCGAGGGCGAGCCGCCAGCTCCTCACGCACTCGTACTGGACCGTAAAAAAGCCGCTGTGGTCGTCGTTCACCACCATGTAGGGGGGTCTTTTTCCTCCGTTGCGCCTATTGCTGTCGATACTCTCAACCCTGCCTACGGATGCATCGGCCGATTCGCATCGCAGCGCCACCGACGTCGACCTCTCGACCAACAGGAAGCGGTGCGTGTCCTTACCCGATGCTGCTGCTTCCCCTGCCGGCCCGGCGCCGTGGTGCCTCTCCCCCCTCCCCGCGGCACCAAGTCCTCCGTCCTCCGGCAACATCACCCGCGACATTCGAATCCGCAGCGGAATAGCCCAGCAGGCCGAACCAGATTGCGTCACCCCCGCCACCGGAGGCCGCTCATCATCGGACACCTGCATCTCGGCGGCGGCGCTCGCACTACCCTCGCTCCTCGTGCTATCGTCAAGCGGCGGCGACGGGCTAGCTTGGCCTTGCGCTTGCGCACCCCCGGCGGCGGCGGAACCCATCCGGAGTACCTTCGCTGACCGCCCGGCCCCGTCCTCGCTGCTCACCACCCACTCGCCGGCGCCCCCCTGGCTAACAGCTCTATGAGCTGCTGAGTCGACCCCGCTTGGAGGAGGAAAGCTCCCGCCGCGAGGAAACGGGAAGAAGGAGAAAGGTTGCTGAGTGATGCTGAGAGCGTCGCCCACCATCCGCACGCGGAGCATGGGGAACTTCGGGCGGGTGAGCCACGGCTGCATGAGGCCACGAACGTCTAAAGCGACGCCGTCGCGGTCGCACACGCCCTGCGAGGGGAACAACGGCAGTGCGGGGTGCCGTGGGGGGGGGAATCAGCGTTGCCAGGCTCTTGGTGGGATAGTCCACCAAGCATAGCAGGTTGGACAGGTTCGAGCGTTGAGGAAGCCCCTGCGTGCCGCCTCGACGGTGTGGTTGTGCTTACTTGGTTCTCGCTAAAATGTACCGTTCTTCCGCCCCAAGACATGACGTCCTTCCCCTTTTGCCCCTGCCACGAACCCCCCCTACTCCCTCTCGCATCAACCCGTCAAAAAACATTTCCGACGACCTAAAACGCGGGGGGCGCTTGAGCGATCTTCGGCAAGAACAGCTGCTCGAGCAACAGAGTTGTTAGTGGGTAGTTGCCGCCGTGAATCCCACCAGGCATTCCATTCGCTTGGTGCGAGAAAGACATGCGTGGCTAACGAGACACAGCTACACGGAGGATTTCGAGGCCTAGAAGATCAAGTGGCCCGCAGGCGAAACTGGAAAAAGGGGACAACTGATGAAAGGCAACAAGCTGGATGCATGCCCAAGCGGGGCATCAACGTCCAGAGCGTTGGTCGTTTCAACGTCAGGAGAAGGGAAGATGCGCCGAAACATGAGAGTACGCCCCCCCCCCCCCCCCCCCCCCCCCCCCCCCCCCCCCCCCCCCCCCCCCCCCCCCCCCCCCCCCCCCCCCCCCCCCCCCCCCCCCCCCCCCC